CCCCAAAACCCCAAAACCCCAAAACCCCAAAACCCCTTTTCAGTATTCCAAAATTGAATTTAAACTGGCTATTTACTAAAAACTCGGTGGGTTAAGAATATTCTCCAGTTTGGCTAAATCGTCCTCTCTAGGCTGGTAGAACTCCTTGGCGACATTATACATCTTGATAACGCCATTTGAATTGCCAGTGAGAAGCTTCTTTCCGTCTGAGCTCCATCTGATCTTATTTACTGCTCTCTTGTCAGCTTCAAATCTATATCTGCTTTCTTCAGTCTCTTTGGCGATATCCCAGATGTCGATCTGACCATTACCGTTACACGTAGCGAAGACGGATGGGTGGACAGGTGACCATTGGGCATCATAGTACTCAACTTCTCCATCGATTAGCAAGACAGGGTCCTTCCTGGATTTTGGATGCCAGAGACCAATCCCCCAATCTGCAGATGTAGACAGCAGAAAGTCAGATGCCTTTGACTTCCTCTCAGTGATCTTTGGATGATAGTGGAGAGAGAACACTGTCCCTAAATGTGCTGAATAAACATCTGTGATATTCTCTTCATTCTGCTTCTTCGTATAAATCTTAGCACTATAGATATTGAAATCTTCGCCTCCGATGTAAAACTCGTTGGTTTCTTCTTCAGGGAAATCAATGCAATGAACTGGAATTTCATTAGTCTTGATTCCAAGATCAACTCTCTTCTGAGGCTCCTTCATCATGTTGGTGGACCACACACAGATAGCTCCGTTGTTGGAGACAGTGACGATGTTATTAGCGTTCTTTGACCCAACAACACTGATCCCCTTGATCATGCTTGAGGTTGATATCTGACTTTTTGCAGTTGGATAATTTCTCTTTTCCCTCATATCCCAAAGAATTACGTTTCCTGAATAAGTCCCTCCAATGATCAGGTATGGCTCAATCGGATGGAAAATGCATGAGGTGATTTCTGACGAGCATGTCAGAGTCAACTCAGGTTTCTCAGGCATCTTAGTTGAGAAAATATTGACCAATCCATCAGTCTCTTTCGCGTCCCAGTCATTCTCAGATTTGTAATATGAACAAAGGAATAAATCTTTATACTTTGGAGACCACTCTATATTAGTGATGGCTCTCTTAATGGGGTTCTCTTTCATAAAGGTTGCTTTCTCAATAATCTTGTCATCCTTGGAAGCAGCGCCTGCATAATCATCGGTCTCTAACCTCTCAAAACTACCAATAATATCATCTTCAGAATTAAGGCCTCTCTCCATAAGTCTGGCAGCTTTGCTGAAGAAGTAGTCAAAGTTAGGAGAGGACATGACCTCATTAGCTTCTTCTTCATCAAGGATCTTCTTGGTTTCCTTCTCTTCCTCTTCCTTCTTGTTTTCTTTGTCAATGAGTTCATCCGGCAAGCCAGAGATCATGGGGAGTCCGTTCACGTTGGTCTTGTCTACTGTAATTTTCTTGACTTCGACCGGTGGCTTCTTCTCCTGTACCTTCTCATCTTCAGATTCTTCCTTAGCATCCATTGTAGATTTGCCAAGCTCTCACTGGACTGGCTGGTTCAGGTAATTCCTGATCTTTGGATTAATAGAGTGCTCGCATTGGTCAAGAGCCACGCTGAGGTTGACATCAACGATCTTTTTCGAAACAAGGGTTGCTTCTTCCTCCTCCTTCTTCTTGCGCTCTTCAAAGGCACTGCTAGTCATGACCTTGTCCATGAGTTTATTAATATCTTCTCCTGCACCGCCTTGGCTATCAGTGGTGACGGGTTTGCCTTTATTTGCTTCTTTGAGCTCCTTCATTCTCTTCTTTTCGGCAGCTTGCTTTTTGAGTTTTTCAAGTCTTTCCCTCTTTGCCTTTACGAGATCTGACATTTTTAATAATTATTAAATTTTGGAAGGATTTAGGGGTTTTGGGGTTTTGGGGTTTTGGGGTTTTGGGGTTTTGGGG